ATTGGTAGTTCCATCTAGTGAACAGTTGCGTAGTTTATTTTTAGGCGAATGTCATGACGCAACTGGACACTTTGGCTACAAGAAGACGAGTGCTAACTTAGTACAGCGATTTTGGTGGCCCAGAATGTTAGATGACGCAAAGAAGTATGTTGAGACTGTCAGGTCTGTCAGCGGGACAAGCCGCGAACTCAAGCACCGCTTGGGTTATTGAAGCCTTTACCTATTCCTGATGGTCCAGGATTGAGTGTTTCCATGGATTTCATGGACACTCTTGTGACCAGCAAGAGTGGTAAGAGGCACATTTTCGTCATCATTGACCGATTCACCAAGTACGCTAGACTAATACCAATGCCAGAGACAGCCAGGATAGAATACGTCATCAAGTTGTTCAAGGACAACTGGGTAAGGGACTTTGGTTTACCAAAAACCATCATTAGTGACCGAGACGTCCGATTCACAAGTGAGTTGTGGAAGAAGACTGCGGAACAGATGGGCAGTCAACAAATGACTTCAGGGAATCATCCCGAAGCCAACAGACAGGCCGAACAAATGAATAGAGTTGTACAGCACTTGCTGAGGCATTATATCAAGCCCAGCCAGGATGATTGGGATGAGCAGTTGCCTCTCATCGCCAGCCTGTACAACAATGCTATACATAGTAGTACCGGCGTTAGTCCTAACCAGCTGCAGTTAGGATGGAAGCCTAGATCAGCATTAGACTTCCTCCTACCTAAAAACCGACCTGCTGCAACTCCAGGCACACTTGAATACGGTGTGCAATATGAGAAATTGCTGCAAGATGCTGTTGAACATATGAAGAAGGCTCAACAAGCCATGATCGCTTATGAGAATCAACATCGCAGACAGTCCACATTTCAGGTAGGTGAACGCGTCTGGGTCAAGGCTAGTGAGTTTGGACAGGAATTCGGAATATCTCGCAAACTAATGCCTCAGTACTTTGGTCCTTGGGAAGTCTTAGATGTAGTGGGAGATGAAATGGATGGTCCTACGTATGTCATTCGTGTCCCTGGACACCTACGCACTCACCCAGTCTTTCATGCCTCAAAGCTTGCACCTTTCGCTGAGACTGATCAATTCCCTTCCAGGAGATCGTTGCTGCCCTCAACCATGGATGGACAAGTTGACATCAACGACATTGTGGATCACAGGGACATGCCTGTTGCAAAGCCGTTGGGTCGAGGAAGACCTCCTAAACCCAAGAGAGAGTACCGGATCAGATTCAGGCATCATACGGATCC